CTCGTGACCTTCTTTGAAATATTTTTTGTAGATATAACTGCGAGCAAATAACGCACAAAATTAAATCAAAACAAATCTTAACTTATCATTAAAATAAATCATACTTCAAATACTGTAGTCCACAATTAATTAATTTCAAAGAAAACATTCACCATGCCATGCCAGTCATAAATAAATTGTGTCACAACAGTAAGTAGACTACAAATATTTCAACCGCTTTTCCAAGTTTTTGCTTTCACTTTAGGAAGGACTGCATCATGAGAGATGTGAATATACTTTAACTATGTCAGTGTCCTGCAATCTTCCACGTTTCAATGGCAACGGCGTTTGCTCTTGTATATCAAATCATAAAAATGCCATAAATATTATTTTCATACAGGAGATTTACTTACATACAAAAATATATATAGCAATTTGGTTAGCCAATGTCTCCGGTTAATAATAATGATTTATCTTTAACGATAAATAATTGTGACACAAACTTAATACGGCGTGACATATCAGTAAATATTAAAAAAGACAAGCCTACACCTTGCAAAAAATAAAAATACAGCTACCGGCTAAACTGTTTAGAAATTTTTGTAGATATGTGTAGATATATATAGTAGGCGTATTTGAAAACCGCGCAAATTCAATTTTTGGTTATTGAGTTGAATCACTGATGTAGGTATAGCAACAGTTTGTCGACTAAAGTGGTATGTAATTTCAAAATATTATATTATGTACGAGTATTTAATTCTACTGGTGTTAAACACTGATAAGCAACTGTTGATAAACTGTTACTACATTACCATGTTTTTGTATTTGTCTATACTTTGTATTTTATTATTTTGCAAATGATATACAATACCTTTCTTACAATACCTTTAGTATGACTTTATTGTGTGCAGATGACAGTGGGTGCGTATGAGTAATTATATTTTACAGTGAATTTTAAGCTTCAGTTGAAAATGAAACACAACACTATTTTGATTGGTAGATTGTTTAAATAGGTTTTTAAGTATCATACAGTACAACAAACACTTTTATGTACAAGTTTGCATATATACTTTTTTACATTGAATTTAAGCCAAATGAATAATTAAATTTTGTTTAAAGTTTCTTAAGGTTAAAGAAATAAATTTAGGGGGATTGTATTTGAGGTAATATGCTAGTAGTCATGAGATAATGCCAAGTATTTTAGGTAGATAGATTAAACTTGCTGTCAATATGTCACATATTATTTACAAAATTCGTAGAGATAACCTCGTAGAGGAGTAGTTGCAAATGTTTCTGGATCTTGCTAGACGAGACTTATAATTATCAGCAAAATTATGCTTCAAGCAAAATTTCAAGATAATTAACATATTATTTTCTTGAAAAGATCTTGTTACACAAAAGACAAGCACAGAATTGTTTTTAATAAATATTATAATAATTATCTAAATGGTTTAATATCTCTCTCTCTCTCTCTCTCACTCTCTCTTATCCTGTTGGTATCATTCATCATGATTCTCGAATACGGATTTGGCATTTTGAGCCGTGAGCCTGCTGCCAAAACAGGGGGACTTATCATATTATTGTTGTTGTATTCTTCCATGTTTGATTATCAGGATTTTGTAAGTCGGTGGGTGATGGGCTTAAGGACTCCAGGTGAACACATTGCAGCAAGGTATTGATGAGCTGCCAAGCCTTGGCGGACTCTTGAATCAAATATGTCAAAGTGACCCCACTAATGCTCCCTCACTCGTTTGCCATGATCTTGAGCTCCACATAGATTGGTTAGCTTGTCTCACTCATAGGTTACTCATGTTTCCCGGATTGCACGACGGGGACGTGAGAGTAGGAATTGCACGGATTAGGCGAACCGTAACGGCTTCGTGGTCGTGGCTAACCCACGAAGTTATCATTCTTTAAAATTAGGGTCATAGATGTTTATAAACATGTCAGTTTGGTTCCCTTCTACTTGAATGGGAGAATCACACATTTTCAAAGGCGTGTGAAATTAGGGAGTTAGTCATACTTATAGACTTGTCTGGTTGGTTTAGTTTTTCACTCTTTTGGTCTGCGGCTCATTATTTGAGTTCAAGTGAGCTTTAGGAACAAGGCTTCCACTTTAACCTACTCTAACTAGCAGAAATCATAGATCGGTAAAGTTTATCAGAAACGATATTGCTTTTGCGCAAATTTTACTATTATTAATGCTAAGAAATTGGATAATATTGTTATATGAAGCGAAAAGTTGAAGTCAGCCGTACGATAAATTATGAAAATAGTGTCCTACTTGGTTATATGCACTAATTTACTATATTAAATGTGTCATTCATTCTTTTTTATTCGTATTATTTTCAGAAGCGGGCATGCTTATAACTGTAAGTTTAATATACTTTAAGTTTTCCTTACTAAAAACTAATGTTTTCGGGGAAGTAGTTGTTCTCGGCAGACTTTATATAAAAAGCCCAAATTCGTTAATTACACTGAAAGTTTATTAAAAATTTGAAAAAGCATTTGTTGTCAGCTGCATCATCTTGAAATATTATTGAAATAGTAGTACCATATAATTGGTAAACGTGGGAATAGGTAAACTCAGCATATTCCTTTAGATTATTATTTAACTTAGCAGTAGTAACGGAAAACAGTTCATATGGTTGGTGATTTCTCGATAAGACATGTTACGGTGACTTTTTATTATACTGCAAGTGACTAAACTTGATTTTAATCATTGGTCGTAAGGTAGATCCCCTTTCACAAGTCATTACTTTCGAAAACTTTATAAATTTATTTTATTTTTCTATTTTTGTGAGAAAGTTTATTTACAATTTGTTTTTTAGAGATAATAAGTGAAATAGTATAGAAAAATTGTGGAATATAAATAGTGGTTCTTAAGTGCTATTGAACTTAAAATATATAGAGATAATATATAGTAATTAGAGTTCAATTCATTTCTATAAAGAATAACTAAGAACCTTTTTATTTCATTTATTTAATCATCACTGCAAATTAAGGGATGTATTTATTGTTTCGACGAAGTATGTGAGAAGTTATATACAATATCACTTGAAAACACAACCTTTGAATAGATTTGATCAATAACGTAGATTACAATACATATACATATATGGTTGCATTTCTGTAGATATAAATGATGGAATATGTATAGACTGTGGAATATGAAAAAAGTTTTTTTGCTAGCAAGATTTAGGATATGTATATAAAAATGGAAAACTCAAAAATTATGTTTATTCAAAGAAAACTGAATTGAACTTCATGTTGAGTTGTGTTCATTTTCTGGGCCCTCTTTCAACTAGAACTATAATTCGTTTCTTACAAAATTTCAGCATTTTAGCTTTGAAGAGGTGAGACTTATGCTTTTTACAGTCCTTTTGAAAACAAGCGTGATATTGCTGTGGTGACTTACTAAACAAATGATAATCTGACAGAATTATATCGGGACTATACTTACATTGATAGCATTAAAATTTCCCAACATCGCTCATTTTTTATCAATGGACGAAGGATGTATTTGGGTTGAAGCTATCATTTGGAAACAAAACTATCTTTCTCTTAATTAAATTTTTTTTTAATCTTTTGCTTCTACTTAAATAAAGTTTGACTGTGGAAGTACGTATAAATTATGTACAGAGGTTATTGTGTCTCATGGGCGACGATCTCAATCATTTTTGATCCGAAAATTGTCTCATTTTTAATTTAATTTTACTTTTTAAATACATCATTTATTTCAATCAATTGATCACTACGTTAGATAGTTTATAATGTATAGACAATGACGTATAAATGACGGAAATTTTAAAATCATTTCCAAACTGTAATAGAACTCAAAGTGCTTTTGAAAAGAACGTCATCAAAAATTCCTCAACAATTATTTCCCTGCAGTTAAACTTATTAAACGGGATATCTAATGTCGTACCAAGGGACCAAGGGATCGTAACCACTTGTAAAGCAAATCCAAAATAATTACTCTGAGTTATAATCAAATAGTCTATTAACTGTTAAAAGAATGGAATTATCAAAAACAACGAGCCGTTTCAAAATTGTTGCAGTTCAAAGTCAATCGTACATTTTTTTCCCAACACTAACATATACGCGGCTATATATCTCCTTTACTTCTTCACTTTTTTTACAACTGTGATAAAAGTTAGTGAAGAGAATATCTAACATCTTATCCAAAACAAGAATTATCACTACTAAGAAGTTAACATGTAATGTGTGAAATATAAAAATAAATAATCAGATGCAAAAAACAATTTCAAAGCTATTGTAGTTCAAAGGCAAGTATTAACTTTTTGTCTAACACAATATGCGTTTTGATAACTCCTTAACTGCAATTGATAAACATATTATCAAATTTGTTTTGAAGGTAATAAAAATAATATGTTTAATTTAATAAGCTTCAAAATATTTATTTATATTAATATAACAAAAACAATGAAAAAAAAATTTTATTATTAACTTCTCATATGAAATAACAGCACGTCATGGTTACTTTTTGACTAAAAATTTATAACTTCACCACTGTGCAGTCATGCATCACCTTTGATTGTTTGATTGTTCCTCCAAAACAAAGTCTGATAGCTGGAATTTGTTTAAAAGATATCATAACACAAATATGCTGAAAGTCGCAGTAAAATATCTAAATCATTAATTTAATTAAAAGATATTGTGGAAAGAAAACAAAAATAACAAAAAAGTAATAAAAATAATAACAAAGTCTAAATATGTCTCATTCAGCCATTCAGTAATTCAGTAATTCGTATATCAAAATACTTTGCTAATCTAAAAATGGAGTGAAGTATAGGCTCTGATAACCGTAAAGGAAATAAATATATGTATACCAGTATGTGCAATATTTTGCGAGAAATATCTGATAACCGAATCAAAATATAAAATACAAAATATAAAAGCATATAGTCGCATATCCCCTCTAGTTATAAAAATTTTATTAACTTGTACACAGGTAGGTGTTAGTCGATCTAGACCCCTGAGCAGCAGCAGCCAATGTCTGTTAGTCTTTATCTTGGACTTTAAGGTGATAAGCAGCACGCGGGTGTTATTTCCAAAAGTATTCATTTTAATAAAAACAGCAACCTAGTTAATAACTCGTTCAGACGTTAATTTGATAGTAAGGAAGTTGATATCGAGAACGCGACCGCAAGAATTCCTAAAAGTACCGAGTCATTTAGTAAATTATTTTGGTGAAATAAATATTTCAAAATATTGTGCTAATAATTTTTTAATTAAACCTGTCATATAATTAATGTTTCTAATAGATTCCTTGTGTGCATAATGCGATTTGTAGTTATAGTGCTAATTGAGCTGTGCCAATTTCATCATAAAACAAAATATACTTGATAGTTAGCAATTTTGCGCTTATTGAGATTTTTTAATCCTCCTCCGTCCATAAATTCAACTTTTTATTGCGATTACATTGAGAATTTAAAACAAAAATAATTGTTGTTGTTGCTGGTAACAAGTGTAAATTTAATAAAGATAACAGCTGAAGTATTTTGGCATTGGAAATATGAGCAATGATGATATTTGTAAGTATACTTGTTCCGATTATTTGACTGCTACTTAAAATTATTTCTTTTTATGTTTTTCACACGAAAGTAACAGGCCAAATATAGCCTTACAAAGTGTTTATTAATATTCGTTATCTTTTGATTACGAAAAGTTTTAAAAATTTTGATAAAAATGTATCTATTGTTTACACATGAAAATTAGTACAAGCTTAGCATAAATGAAGTGCTGTTATTTTTAAAACATTTAAAATTTTATTTAAATTTTAAAGAAAATTCAAAAAGATTTACAACACTAAATAATATTTCTATTGTGTCTGTTTAAAAAGTATGGCGCAATTATAGAATATTAAATTTTTCTATATGAAAAATAGCTAATTGAGGCTAATTACTACGGCCGTGTGTGAATTCGAGTAAATTGAGGTAAAGTAAATTGAAATTTCCTAGGGATTTTTTTCACTGCTCTTATGTAAATATTTATTTATTGCGCTAATTTATTATTTTTAGTTAAAAGTTTTTAAATTTATTTATTTATTAAACATTTTATAAAATTTTCATAATGGTGACACCTAATTTACCTAATTTTTAACTAATTTACCCTACTTGAAATTCTGGTAAATACCAACTTTCGCTGCTATACCGACATAATTTACGACTCTCTCAATTTACCATCAATTTACTCGAAGTCGCACACGACCTTAATAAAATAACATATTGGTATTCTATACTTTTATGGAATAAAATTATTTATATAAATTAGAAGGAGTCTTAACACTAAATAAAATAATATATTGGTATTCTGTGCATTTATGGAATAAAATTATTTATATATATTAAAAGCAAAAAGTTTTTTAAATAATTAAATAATTATTAATTATATAAATTATTAATTATAATTAAAAATTATTTTAAAAAATTCTTGCATATCAATGATATTAAGTATCTGCATATTTTTAAGTGATCTTTTGCTTTTATAAGTGCAGGCAATATTTATAAAAAGTACTTCCAAATAGATAAATATATATGCCTGTGTATTAATTTCAGCAAATGTGACAACAAAATAACGCCGGTTATAAATCAAGCTGAAGTAAGTAAATATTTACACAAGCCACAATGAACAGAAAAACAAATTTTTGAACATTAGACGTATTAAAATGATTTACGATAATTAAGTAACGCGTTATAACACTCACGTTACGTTCTACATATTACGTTGTACAGATTACGTTACGATGAACGTCGTCTGCTGAAAGTAAAATTTTGCGTAGCAGTTAATTAATACTTTTCTGAATGAAAAATGTTTGCAAACAGTACATGTCCTTCAAGTAGAGTCAAGTTACAAAGAAAAAACTTTTCTCAACTGACGACTTGTAAAAAATTATAAGAAATACTTTAGTCTGTGTGGGTTTCTAAGGTATAGAAAATATATCCGACAATATGACAAATATAATAAATGATGTTAACTGTCAAGATAGTCTCGTAATAATTTTTAAATGAATTTATTATCGTTAAAGATCGGTTCTGAGTATTTTGAAAAGCAAAAACTGTATATTTGTAGATATAATAGGGCGTAGTGAACTATAATATAATAGGAACAATAAATGATAAAGTCTTTATCAGAGTTTTACCTAAAAAAAAATAAATTGAAGTTTTGTTTAAGGGTTCAAGAAGTTATTTTTAGACAAATAGGCATTTGTTTTATATTCCCTGATCTGTAATATAATAAATTGGAAGACTAGAAACATGAAAAGTTTAGATACTTTATAAAAATAAATAAGTTTTACCATAATATGTCTCGAATATATGTCTTACATTTGCACAACTTCTAAATATTAGGTTAGATTTGGTTGTCCCGACGATCCTTAGTGGATCCACTTAGACCTATTGACCCATTGCTTTACCGTATGTATAGGAAAAACTCAGGGTTTAAAATCACTTAGAACCTTTGATGAAGCCTAAAATGCTGTTTAGTGTCAGGTCCCGTAATTGGTCAATGTCCTCAAGAAAGGGGGCTTCGGCAGTATTGAGTCGCCGCCGTGCATGAGCTGGGTACAAACATAGTAGATGAGAGTATCTCTCATCGTCCTACCCACAGCTGCGATAGATTTAATTTTAAGGAAGACCTCATCTTTTAGCATGGTTCCCTAGTTCACAGTGACCTGTAAGTAAACCTACCAAAAGACGGGATATCTCAATGAGAATTTTGGATCCCCTTTTATCGGAACGTAGCCAGTTTGCATACAGATGCCTGCATATCGTTTTCTAAATATTAAGACTAAAAATATTAAAATATTTATATAGATACTACCATTGAAGACTAAAAATCTTTAAAATCATTATAAGAATAAGCTAATGAGTTGATAAATACATATCCCGGTTTTTGGGTCAAGAGAGTGGTAATAGAGAAAAACTTAGAGTGTTATTTAAAAGTGAAGACTTTTTTCACTCAAACACAATGACTACAAACTCTTATTTTTACTATCTATATATTACTATAGCCATGACCATATTAAAAGTTGTAGAAATGTTAACAAGATATCAAAAGCAGTGACATTTATTTGTATCTCAACAAAAAAATGTGAACTAAGTAACATATAAGACTTATGCCTAAATTGCATTACATATTTCGATTTGCAAATATAGATTAAAAAATGCGTTATTGATTTAAGTATTTTTAATTGATTTTCTACAATTATCTAAAAAAATAAATTTTAAACAAACTGATATTTTATACCTATCTTATGATCTATAAGTATTCTGTCATTGTAAAAACATGAAATACTAAGAAATGTTATAAGTGTACTGCATATCTTAGTTGAGGCAAGATGAAATATTATTATTATTGATTTAAGAATTATTTTTCTATGAGTTTGGAATTGCAGATTCTATGAAGTGCAAAATACATAATTATACTCTTGATGATACAATATTGCTAGAAGTAATATTAAAACTTCATGTAAATATTCAATCAGACTTAATTAAAATCTAATCGCAATAATATTACTAATAATGTAATAATTGGTAGTAAGAGTATGCTAAGTTTATAATCAACCTTGATTCAAAATTAATATAGATGAAGTAATGATTTTTAAGTGTATAATAATTTTTCTACTTTATAACTACACTTATAAGAGTAAGAGAGTAGTGTTGTTGTTTAGCGTACAACTAAGAGACTTTAGCAAGAGATTTGTTTTTTTATAACACATCTCGGAGCGCCGGAATACACCTATTATTACTATTCTTGAAGAGTTCTAGCTTTTTTTATTTATTTCTATATACAGAAATCATTAAAGCAAAGGAATAATAAAGGTTGTCTAACTTTACTGGGGTTCCAGAATTCTTTTCGCGAAATGTAGGGTGCATATTGTAATTATACAAATTAAAAAAATTGTCACCAACAAGTGTCATTTGTCTTCGCCAACCAGAAATTAAAAAAAAAAAAAATTAATTTGACTTCTTGCACGAGTTTCTGGCATTTTCCTGAGAACAGTAACGCATTGCATGAAGTTTTCTCTAGATAATTTGTTATGAATGTTGAATTTTTTAGCTTTAAAAAAAGGTTAAAAATTTAATATTTTAATCATTTTTAAAAAATTATTAAAAAAAGGTTTTTAATTTTTAAATTACTTAGGATTGAGTAAAATTTTGTTTCATTGGAATCTACAATCCTTGTGAATAATTTATTTTTATATTAATATGCATTAATATAAATACTTATAAAGAGGTTTTTTTTAAATAAAGCAGTGAACTACAACAATAAAAATTCACGTTTTTCATATTATTTTAATTAATTGAATTTATGGCTGACCATATAGCTGTTTCTAGCATCAGTGGTCTTGGAAATAATTTTTGTATTTAATTATTCGTAAATAATTTTTTAAGACTGCGAGTACCAGGAATATAACTTGTGCCCTGCCAAATTTGAAGCTCAAAGTCAGCGTTTGTTAGCCAACTGATCCAAATCCGTACTTGACTTTTATGTTCGCACATTTTTCTGGAGTTTTGTTACTTTGCCTTATAAAGTAATGACTTACAATTATTTGAAATGTTTTTCTTACATTAAAAAATAATAAAAAATAATTTTATATATAAATAAATTCTATTACTCACATAAGATTTTTAATTATTTTTAGTAATTTATTTAACGATTCAATTGATTTTAGATAAACCTAAATTTAAGATTGTTGTTGGTAACTTTATACTAATTTTGATAAATTGTAAAATACAATTCTATTCCAAATTTAATTTTATATTAAAGTCTAATGCTTCCTTTCACTTATATAAGATTTTCAATTACTTTTAATATTATCTTTAACGATTCAATTGATTTAAGATAAACCTAAATTCAAGGCTAAATAAGAGTGTCATTATAATAAATTTAATATTACACGAGGATGAAAATTAATATACTAACTGAGTGTCATATAAAGATGAATAACCAAGAAATTTTACGGTTAAATTTTTATTTCTTTCTTTTATATCCTTTTTATTATTTACATAAACAGTAAAATGATACTGAAGCCACAGAAACATTGCCGAGGTTTTTACTGTACGGCATAGTCACGTGCTGTAAATGCGTCGCGTATTAAATTGCAAGGATTTGCTGGCTTTTCTTTATTGCGGATTGCGGGTTATTTAAATTGAAATAAAAATTTTATGTTATGAAATTAATATTGAAATTGTAGGATATAAAAAAAAATAGCATAGATAAAAATAATAAAAATATCTTACTTTTGCAACCTCTGTGCAACAATAGACTATTGTAAAAAAATCAAAAACAATATAATATAAAATTATGTAATATAATTTCTGTAATAATTTTTAATTGTTTTTTTTCTAAATGCTTTTCTTAAGATTTTGTACAGTTTTTTGACCTATCTAATATAAATTTAAAAAAAAAAAAATATGTTTAACTGTAAGATTTTAACACATTAACATTTATTTAGGTTTTCTTCTCAAAAGCAAAATGCAAACAATCTTATCAACAATTTTCAGTTATTTTTCCCAAAGGCAGCGTTATT